ACACAAGCTATGAGTATGACTTCCATTATGAACTTGACCCTGTGACCTCTTGGCCAAAGATAAGACAGATCAAGAGTGAGACCATGTCGCTATGGTAAACAGTGTGGGGAAAAAATAAAAAAGAGAAAAAATATTTTCTCCTGTGGTTTCCTGGGTAACACCGTTTCCCCTCTGAGCACTTTATACTGGGAAAGCTGACAGTGCCTGAATCCTGAAACACTCTTCCTCTTTATTTCTCCTGCCTAGGATTGAAATAGCAAATATTCAGCCTAGTAATGCCCTACTGTATGTGTATCTGTGTATTTTGTATGTGTACCGTGTAAGTTATGCCTTGTTTTTTTAATGATATAATTTCCTCTGTGTTTGCTGAAATATGGAGTTTGAGGAGACACTAGAGGTCATAAAAGGTTTTTTTTTTTTTTGGTTTTTTTTTGACTGGTGCTTTCATGTGGAGAACAAAGTTTAAATGCTTTCTTTATCCAGATGAGATAGGAGAGTGAAGGTCAAAGGTCAGAATAATGGGAGATTCTGGACAGTATGGATGTGAGTGACCTACAAGAGTATTGCTTTATACACTTTATATTAAAGCTTTTTCTCTCTCATGTGTTTGTCTCCCACACCAACACTGACAAGCTAAAATATCAGCTCAGAATGTAGCACAGCCCATTTTTCCTTTCTCACTCCACCCTCTCTCTTCATATTCATCTGCTGTCCCTCTCCATCTCTCTGGCTGTGAGTCATTCTGCTCCCTAGTTCCCTATGTGAATTAGTAGATTGTGAACATTAATTCAGGCACTAGCAAGGACTTTGATCTCTAAACAGTTTGACTGTGACATGATTATGCGGTTGTGCATTACAAAGCAGCTGGTATTTATTAACAAAATCACCACAACATTTCATGGATATAGTATTCTTTTTCTGATATTTTTATGTTTATCATGCACTGCTGTAGTTCTCCATTATGAAGTATGTACTCGTCTTGCTTATTAATTAAGCAAAACATTCAATTCTGTTTGAAAGTCTGGGGTCAGCAGTTTTTTAAGGTCTCTTAAGCTCACAAAGGCTGCATTTATCTGATCAAAACTACAGTAAAAACAGTATTATTGTGAAATATTATTGCAATTTAGAATAACTGTTTACTATTTTTAATATATTTTAAAATGCAATTTATTCCTGTGATGGCAAAGCCAAATTACTCCAGTCTTCAGACCCGCATGATCCTTCAGTAATCATTCTAATATGCTGATTTAGTGCTCAAGAAACATTTCTTATTATCACAGCTGAAAATGGTTCTGATGCTTAATGTTTCTGTGGAAACCGAAATTAAGATTTTTAGGGTACATTGATGAATAGAAAATTCAAAAGAAGAGCATTTATTTAAAATATATTTTTTTGTAACAATTTAAAGTCTTTGCTTTCACTTTTGATTAATTTAATGCATTCGTGAATAGAAGTATTAATTATTAAAAAAGTATTACAAATTAATCACTCACTCGCTTGACCGATGCTAAGGCTAGCAGGAGAGCGGCCTTTAGCGAAAGGGGCCGTAATTTGGCCAGCTGAGTGGCTTTGAAGGGAGGGCCCTTAAGGGCCCCAAGGACCATAGACAGGTCCCATGTAGGAACAGTGATGGGGCTGGGTGGGTTTAGCCTCCTAGACCCCTTCAGAAAACGAACAACCAGGCTGTTCTTGCCTACGGACTGGCTGGCCACAGGAGCGCGGAAAGCTCCTATGGCCGCCACAAAGACTTTGAGCGTGGAAGGGGTGCGACCCTTATCCAGCAGCTCCTGAAAGAATGACAGTACCAGTGAAATGTCACAGGACGTCGGGTCTTCACTCTTAACTCCGCACCAGCTGTAGAAAACAGACCATTTAAGGGTGTAGAGGCATCTTGTGGACAGGGCTCTAGCCTTAGAAATAGTGTTCAGGACAGAGGTCCATCGGCTCCCATCGAGGGGCCAGGGGTTAAGGGCCCACAACTCTGGTTGGGGGTGCCAGATTGTTCCTTTCACTTGGGAAAGGAGGTCCTTCCTCAGGGGAATTGGCCACGGGGCTGCTGAGAGCAGCTGTGTCAACTCTGGGAACCACGGTTGGTTCCGCCAGAGGGGGGCCACCAGAATCAATCAGGGGGGCCTTCCTGATCCGTCTGATGACCTGAGGGAGCAGTGCGACTGGAGGGAAGGTGTATAGGGGAAGGCTGGGCCATTTCGTGGGCCAGCTCGTCCCTGTCCCTCGAGAAATATATTGGGCAGTGAGAGTTGTCAGTTGTCTGAGGCGAAAAGGTCAACCTCTGCCATCCCAAAGATACTTCAGATCATACGAACTATCTGGGGGAGAAGTGTCCACTCTTCCGAGGACACGTTGCCCCGGGACAGCATGTCTGCCCCTTGGTTCAATCTCCCCGGCACGTGCGCCACTCTCAGTGAGCGCAGGTTGGGTGGTGCCTATAAGAGCTCCACCAAGGTGGACCAAGGTGCATATAAGAGAACCACCAAGGTGGACTCAGATCGACGCCTCTCACCAGTTTGTCACCTCGATCTGAGTCCACCTTGGTGGTTCATGTAGGACACCACTGCCATGTTCTGAGGGCCAGAAAGACTACCAGCATTTCCAGGCAGTCGATATGAAGCCAAGCGTGGGCTGAAACTCGGGGTTTCAACCAGTGCTGTAGGGGGCAGCATGTGAAGCAGAACCAGATGAAGTACTGGTGACGCAGAGGCCATGAGGCCCCGTATCCTCTGAAACGTTCTGAGGGGGGCTGAGACCCCGACCCTGAAAGATGCCGTAAGCTGTTGAATCGTCAAGACTTGCTCTGGCGTGAGCATGGCCCGTGCGTAGTGTTTGGAGTTTTCCTAGTAACTGTTCCAGCAAACTTTTATTTGTTCAATAATTAAATTGGTTAAATAGAATTAAAACATTTTTTTACTTACATCAACAATTTAATCTTTATTTTGTTCTGCAAGACAGGGAAAATATGTATTTTTATTTGTAATTAATATTTTGAGTTTGTTCTTGAGTGACGTCATCGGTAATGGACCGGTCGCGCGCGCGCCTGCTCTCTCTCTCTCAGAACAGCCTGTGACTGTAAAGAGTCAGGTATGTCTGTGTAGTGCTCTGCATTTAAGAGTAAAAATATGCTATATTAAGTGAAGTTTCAAGTTGATATCTATTTTAGAAGTGTCATAAAACAGGAAAGAGATGATATATGCATTTTTCTGCCTACAGTTCAATGTATTTTCGGTGTTTTATAAACGCACGTGTTTGTTTTATGTTGCCACCTGCGCGCCAAATTAGAGTGCAGGTTTTTCCCTGTTAATAATTTTATCCACATATAATTTTGGTGGATTGAGTCTGTAGAAATGTTGTTTGGTGTATTAAATGTGTGTAGCTTTCATTTGGATGGTAAAATGTATGTTTATAGCCATATGTGTGACCTGTGTACTAGATTAATTGCAGTTGCTGTTATGGAGGACGGTACTTAACGTGTCTTTTCTCATACATCCTTCAGCTGAAACAGAGTAAACCTGAAGGCTTGTGTTGATGTTCTGTCCTCTGTTAATAAATTGCAGGTATGTTTAACAACAACAAGAGGGGAAAATACCACTATACGATCAAACAAATTGAGGCATTTTGGCTATAATATTTTTATGGAATTTAATTTCTTTAATTTAGTTTGTGTGAATGTGAATTTTCATAAATAAGACATGAAAAGAAATTGATTGTTGTAATACAAGACTTTATTGTGTAAAATCCTGAGAACAGCCTGTGACTGGAGAGAGTCAGCTGAAACAGAGTAAACCTGAAGGCTTGTGTTGATGTTCTGTCCTCTGTTAATAAATTGCAGACGTGGTCCACCGAAGCCAGTGGTGTCGGGAGTTTCTTTGTGGTGTGAGACGAAGTCCGCTACACGTATTTGGGCTGAATCGAGGACTACTCCCAGGAACGAGATCCATTGGCTGGAAGACAGTGAGCCCTTAGGCAATGTTGATCCTGTGTCCCAGGCATTTCAAATGGCTGAGGAGCAAGGATCTGTGAGCGTCCAGCTCGGTCTCCGACTGGGCCAGTATGAGCCAGTCATAGAGAAAATTCAGGACACGTACTCACTTCTGTCTCATAGGGGAGCACTTCATGCTTCATCCATGCACTTCGTAAAAGTGCGCAGAGCTAGAAACAGTCCAAATGGAGGACCATACAGCCACCCCCTCGAACGCGGATCTCAAGAACGGTCTGTGATGGGGGGCTATTTGGATATGAAAGTAGGCATCTTTCAGATCCACTGAGAAAAAAACAATCCCCTGGAACACCTGCGAGAGGATCCGTTTCAATGTTAACATCTTGAACCTCTTTTTTTATAAGGGTGCGATTTAGATGCCTCGGTGTGGAGAACGTGAGCCACGCTGCTCTAAGGTGGAGATGACACCCCTGAAGCAGGGGACCTGCAAGTGAAATAAAGCGAGTAACCTCATTTGATTGTCCCCAAAATCCAGTGGCAAATGGTTGAAGTATTATAGGCTGCGTCTCGCGCTTAGGCGGGAGAACAGCACCTGTATCATTGAGATGAAATGGGTAGCGTTTTGGCCGGGGGGGGGGACGCGTGGCTTGACTTTTGGCTCCGCTTTCGCTTTCATTGCATTATTCTATAATCTTCAGCAATCTGAGAAAAATTAGTTTTCCCATTGCGTCGCAACGCAGTATGAGTGAACGGTATCGAAAGGGAACTGTTGTTTGTGCTAAAACTGCGCAAATGAAAGCTGCTGCTTGAAAGCGCCGCTATGAGCAGCCTCAACTTGTGTAAGTCTTTGATTTCATTGTTAATCATTCTCACCTGTGCGCTGGGCAAAGAGAGTCTGCTGCTGTGTGTGATTGCAAGGAGGTGCTAATAATATTTTACTTAAACGCCATCTGCTCAGACTGCTGAGGCGGAGAGAGAGGGAAGAGAAAAAGACAGCAAAGAGAGAGAGAGAGAGAGAGAGAGAGAGAGAGAGAGAGAGAGAGAGAGAGAGAGAGAGAGAAACATTATTCTAATGGTAAAACTTACTGTACATGTAAGTGTCTGAAAGATTTGCATCACATTTTTGTCTTAATTTAAAGCCAGTTGTTTTGAAAATATGTGTGGGTTTTCACAACAGCAAAGTTCCCACAGTGTTCTAGGAGAGTAAACGCAGGTACTACTGAAGTGTATAAAGTCCAGTCTGTTGCTATTGAACTTTCAGGTGTCACGCAAGGGAACATATGTGTGGAGGCCCATTTGATCACCTGAAGATTAACCTGGAGAAAACATGTGCCAGTCACCATGGAGATTAATGAAATAATATGTGGACCCCACAGAAGATCTCAAACTGTCAGAGAAGGAGATTCACCAGGTAATATCACTCTTTAAAGTCAATACGAATCAAAATTGACAATAGCCTATTTCCCTTTTTTTTTTATATATATATATATTTCAGGTCTTATTGTGAATGATTTGTTAGTGAATGTTATTCTTAAGACAAAAATGTTTGTCTTCATAATCTTCATCAAAATGTACATCACAAAAACTCCTTCATCTGAATCAACTTTTTTTTTTTTTGCTGAAATCACTTATGCCAGGCATTTGGATATTGTAAATCAATAGCCAGATAGCTGCTTATTCATCGGTTTTTGGCAAATTCTGATATGTAATACATTTCACCACCTCATTAATTCCAGATGGATAACAAAGTCCTATCCAACTTTATTTTTAATTGAATAACCTGTTTCTTTCATTCATTACATTATGAAAGAAAAATGTGTTTCAAATAGCATTTGATGTTGACTTGATATAGAAAAAGGCAATAAAATAATGAAATTGCATAGACTAAAATAATAGATTTCATGTGCTGTTTAAAGCAGTTTTTCTGTGGGATTCACTAAGAAAGTAGCCCCATCTGATTAAAAATCCTGACTAAATTGGTGTTTTATTCTACGACATTTAGATTAAGCTCAGTTAATAATTCTCAGGCAAATTAAAGAAAAGTCAAAAGGGAAAGTCAGTCGGATCAGAGACTGGATTTGGAAAGAATGAGCAAATAATCACAAGATTAAAACAGGCCAACCATGGATGACAACAGAAAACAAAACCAATTACAAGGCCTTAATATGTCCCTGCATGGGTATTGATTGCTGTATGGTTCTGATCTTTGGAATATTATCTAGGAGTGTGTTGTTCCACTGCCTTTAAAGGAAGACTGACTTAAAACAGCTTTTATAATTCAGAAGGATTCTATGCCAATTTAGGGGCCAACACCTCGCCAAATCACCTTGCGTGAATCTCCTCCCTTAAATTTTGCATTTTAAAAGGGAAACTCCTATGCATTTGCAATAAGGTCAACAGCAAAAATCACCCTGTCCATGCGCTTTTTCAGCGCATTTTTTTTTTACTGAGTGTCTAGTAAATCTTGACATATAACGCCAAAAGAGGGTTTGTGCTGGCACAAGCTGTTAGTAATCTTAGTGAGGATAAGAGACTTCTCTCCAAAACATAAAAAAATCTTACAGATTATATAACCCAAACTTTCCAAAGGTGGTGTGTGTAATATATTTACACATATATTTACTCTGTGGTATTTGATCTTGCACTAGTGCAGATATTCACCGGCATATGATGCGTAAGGTGGCTGCATCTGCTTTTGAGCTTCTGAATTATTAGCATACTCTCACAAAACAGCAAATGCAAGTGGCGGAAGGGAAAAGACAAGTAAACAATGAAACCGAGCTTGAGAGAATATTGCTACGTGCTCTGTGAATCTGAAGTAAACTCTTGTGCTGATGAATTTTCGTGATGCCGTACAAAAATGTGCTTTCAGATGCATTGTTTACTATTCCGTTTTCTCTTCATTACAGTCGCACAGTTTCACTTCCTGACAGTCAAGATGCTTATGTGTCGTATCTGCGGCTGTCCTGCAGAGAAACTCGAACCCGCAGCCCTAATGGGCCGTTTGGGGGATGCTGATTGGCATATCCGACGAGTCCTGTCGGTTGTTTTCTCTGTGTCCAGCCCAGCTCCTGCTTCTGTTAGTCTGAGGCGTGCATTTTCCTCTGTTAATGGTCCTGCAGCACCAAACTTTCTGGTGATCGCTGTTTAATTGCTGCCTGTGTCAGTGGGATGCTGCATCAGCCCCGAGAGAAGCGGCCAAATGAGACACGCATCAAACACGAGCGGAGGCCGCGATGATGAAGATGAAGGTCGGCTGTTTACTCATTACATATCATGTGTGTGCGGCGGAAGCAGTGGGACTCAGTCCTTGGCACATCAAAATGGGGCTCACTCACATACACATCATTAGTGCCATGAGAATGGCATAAATGAGGCCCACACACTCAGCATCTAATGGTTTGTGTCTGGGGGCAATTCTTTTAGCGATGTCATATGGAAAAACAGCATGATAACAGTAAAAATATGTGAAACTGTCCACTATGTGTCGTTTCGATTGGACAGGCAAACCAAGATGGCAGATAATATAAAAACCATGGCTAGTTGATTTGGTTACTAGTAGGGACTCTTAACGTTATTGTGTTGTATAAGATTTTTGATGCATTAAAATGATCACAAATGGCTCTAATAGTAGCATAACATTGCAAAATTGTCCCCTCAAACACACACACACACACACACACGGCATTTCCTTCCTCGGTGGAGTCATAAAAACCAAATAGGAGTTTTCAGAGAAACTGCTTGCACACCACACTGAAGATTAATTACTGTAGCCTACTGTTGCGAAGAGTCCAGAGGCAAAGACACACCAGAGATTAAAAGTGCCAAACTCTTATAGTGGAATGATTTAGTACAGTGGAATTCTCTCTAGATTTAGCAGACAATGTGCTAGTAAACCTGAGGATACAGCATCAGTGCTTAAGCACATGATGCGGGATGGACACGGTGCCATCATCAAAGCAGGGCAACGGGGAATCTTTCCTTCAGGCACTGTGATGAGGGAGGTGGAGGCCCCAAGGTGAACTACAACAGTGGGTCTCAACCTCCAATTATTAAGTCTCAACCTTATTAATATAAAATTATTTAAAAATATATGTCTGTCAAGAGTTTGGAGACATTTTTTTAAATGTTTTTGAATGCTGTATTTTTTTTTTTTATAAGTTTCCAAACTTTTAAGGCTTTATGCTATATAGTGTACGAAATGCAGTTTATTATTATTTTTTCCAATATAATTAAAAAAAAAACATAACATACAATAATCTTTACTGTAGATTATATTTCCTACTTTAAGAGCTATAAATTACATTTTAAAACATATGGATGACTGCATTTTATATTTAAATTAAATGACAAAACTTATTGTCAGTTGAGAACCACTGCAGAATGTATAGCCTATTAGACCTTTAAAAATGATCCTAAGGATGTTACTTGCTACTGGTCTGACATGTTTACTTTTAATAATACAAAGGAGAGCAAAACCAAAAACCCTAAAATAATTATTGGAAAAACAAAAATCTAATTAGACTGAATAAAAGATAGATGTGCTGAGAAAATCTATACCTTATGCACGCACATATATCACTGGAACATAATCACACTTTCCGGTATTGATTATGATTTTGCTACACTATAATTTACCATTTTCCTTTTATTACTAAATGACGTTTGATAAACGACAACGGAGTGCGTGTTGTGTTTCCATAGCAAGATGAACATCCGGGGTTTATTTTTTTACCCTCCATAGCAACCGCAGCGCGTCCCCAAGTGAGTCCTTGGCAACCCAAACAGACGCTGGCGTTCTCCGTGCGGTTTAATCCTATGAATTTGTATTGATCTTTTTAAACTGAAACTGCTTAATTAGCGATGTGTACGAACATGAGAGCATTTGAACCTTTGGCTAAAAAAGAACTGAAAACGGAGGGATTTACGGTGAAGTCCACCATGAAGAATTCAGTGGTAAGTTCATGGTTGATTTGTTTTTCTTGTTTTGAACAATTTTATTTAGTGACTTGTTTTTTTTTATTTATTATTTAACGTTAAACTAGACACTTGTGCCATCTCCTGGAAATTAGGTTTTTTTTTTCAAGGTGGGATGTTTGCTCATGCATTTAGGCCTAACCATTGTAAATGATTCGTTGTGATATGGCCTAGTAACGTTGGCTACCTTCTGTAATCTTCTGCTTCTACAAATTGGTTTAGTGCCTGTTTTAATGGGTTTGTGACTGGGTTAATGTCCTACTCTCTGACTTAAAAACCGCATTCGGATGAGACTTGTTTTGAAAATGAAGCTGCAGTCACAGGTCACCTGTGATTTAATTAAATGATTCAGACATTTGTGTGATATATAATTTTAGCATCAGTCATATTATTAAAGGAAGAATTATCCTGTCTACTTCATTAATTCTGAGAAGTTTGTGATCAGAATATTGATATATTATTTGATTCTCAGAGTCAGGTGGGAATTGTGGGATGCTATTGCCAGAAGTATTTAGGCCTAATTGTTAGAGAGAAAATGGGCAAATAAATATTTAAATTCATAATGAAAATCCCTCAGACTGGGTATCAAGACATTTAGCTTTAAAGGTGAGTTCACCCAAAAATGATCATTAATTACTCACCTCATGTCATTCCAAATCCGTAAGACTTTTGTTCATTTTCGGAACACATGAAGATCTTTTTGATGAAATCTGAGAGCTTTCTGTCCCTCAGACAGCTATGCAACTAAAACCTTGACTCACACATCAGTTGTGGCAAACCAACAGAAGCTTAAGCATGTTTGCTTGACGTGCGAGAACCAATGAGGTTCATTCTTGTGTGTTACGCAGCGCGTTTGAGCTTCCACAATAGTTTTGTTATCGCGCGTCAAGCAGGTTCGGTTGAGCGTCTATGTTCAATGTATATGTGAATAAAAGCCTAAATTCAATCTGTTCATCATATAAAGCGATCGAGTCTCTTCAGCAATTTTGGACTAAACCATTTAATTCATGTGGATTCGTTTTTACGATCATGAACTTTTTGAAGCATCAAAGTTTCAGTTGCGTGGCTGTCTATAGAGGGACAGAAAGCTCTCAGATTTCATTAAAAAAAATCTTCATTCGTGTGCCGAAGACGAATGAACGAAAGTCTTATGGGTTTGGAATGACATGAGGGTGAACTATTTTTCATTTTTGGGTGAACTAACCCTTTAATTAGAGAATAGTTGATGACATTACTATGCAACAATTTTATTTTTGTATTCTATGTAGTCTATACTCTAAGTGGTAAAAACAAAGAGGACATTTGCTAACTTGACCAGGTTGGTAATGATTTGTAGCATTGTCCTGGATGTGCTACATTCTTCTGTATTTCTTCTTTTATTTTATTTTATTTTCACTCATATAGCCTTATCATCCACAAAACAAACAGTCACTTCAAAATGGAGTTTCTGCTTGCTTTACACATATTTCATCACAATGTGGATCCCATTTTTCACTAGACAGCTGAACTGACAGTTACCCATCATTCTCATGCCCCACGACATCACCCCCATCAGTGCAGGCTGGGGTATAATTGCCTAAAATGGGCTCATCTCTTGATAGCGTCTACTTGTTGGCCAGAGATGAAGATGTATTAGATGCCGTAACAAGTATAAATTAAGCCCATCAGTTTAAACTGGCAGCTCTTATCGCCCTTGTTGATTTTCTTATTTTAGACTGAATCTGTGCAATAGTTGAGAAGAGCATTTTCAAAAATAAGGACATAAAGATGGATTATTACAGTGGGACATTAGTGCACAACACAACAAAATTTTAAAAGCAAACATAATTTCACAACACAACGAAATAAATCCACAACACAACGAAATAAATCCACAACGGAAAATGTACAACACAACGGAAATAAGCCACAACACAACGGAAAATGTACAACACAATGAAATAAAGCCCCAACACAACAGAAATGGTCCTGACCACCAGAGGGCTCTTGGAGCGCGGTAAAGTTAGTTTTACATGCAACTGTTCTATAGAGTCAGCAGTCAAAAAATATATCAACACCACGACTATGTAGCTAACAGAGCCGATCAGCCCTCTACGCACACTACGCAAGTTGCGTAGGGCCCCGCAAATTACTCAAGCGCGTCAAAGCGCGTCAATCAAAGTTTACAACATCGATGAGATAGGCCTAATTAAAGTGTTAGTTCACCCCAAAATGAAAATTCTGTCAGTAATTACTCACCCTCATGTTGTTCCAACCCCGTAAGACTTTCGTTCATCTTCGGAACACAAATTAAGATATTTTTGATGAAATCTGAGAGCTGGATCACTCCTCCGTAGGCTTCTAAGGGATCGAAACTTGCCGGCCCAGAAAAGTTAAAGACATCGTTAAAATAGTCCAAGTGACTACAGTGGCTCAATCTTAAGTTTATCAAGCGACGAGAATTCTGCGGGTTGTACGTCACACGGAGGCTCACTATTGGCCAACGCTGGTCATGTGTGTGATGCGTGTGACGTACAACCTAGAAGCGCTGCGCAGTTACACTAAGTGAACTATCTCGAGGCCCACAGAGAAGGAAATGAATAGTTGAATAAAGTCGTTATTTTTGTTTGTTTTTTGCGCACAAAAAGTAAAATGACTTTTAACTTTCAAAAACAGACATGTTCAAAATCCAAAGCTTGATTGTAAGACTTACTGACTTACTACAGGTGACTCCCTTCATGCATTTACAGTGAACAATAGTTTTTTAGGAAACTACATTTCTGTAATATAACAAAAGTTTTTTTTCTTTTATCATGTTTTAAAGGTTGTAGTACGTTCCAATTAACCAGACGGACTTACTACAGGTAAACCTGTGCCAATAGCTCACTGTATGCACAGTACACAATTTGTTTTTTTATAAAAACATCACTGTAATTCACCTAAAGGTTTTTTCATGTTCCAAAGCTTGTGGTAGGTTCCTAGTGACCAGACTGACTTATTACAGGTGAAATTGTGCCAATACCTTCCTTTAATTCTGCAATTCACCAAATGGTTTTTATTTTTAATTATCAAATTATATTATAATAAATTAGGCTATACGTTTTAACCACTTGGTGGAATTGCCGTTCCCTTAACGATCATGCGCTGTGGAAGCAGGTCAAAGCATTCTCGAGTATACGCAGCTATAATTCATGTAGGTGATTTTGAAGTAATATTTTATGTCGATATACAATGGTTACATACTACTGTTAAAACTAATCCTGGTATTGATATCTTAAGACTGCCGACTCTATAGAACAGTGTCATGGAAAACTAACTTTACCGCGCTCCAAGAGCCCTCTGGTGGTCGGGAGCATTTCCGTTGTGTTGTGGCTTATTTCCGTTGTGTTGAGGCTTATTTCCGTTGTGTTATGGCTTATTTCTTTGTGTTGTGGATTCATTCCGTTGTGTTGTGGCTTAATTTCGTTGTGTTGTGAACTTATGTTTGCTTTTTAAATTTCATTGTATTGTGCACTACTGGGCCACCGTAGATTATAGAAATAATCTGACAGATTATAAAAAAATTACATTCATGGAGGCCTCAGTTTTGTGTCCTAAACCAGAGCTGCATTTGTTACAGCCACACACCATGAAATGAACTATTTCACAACATGGATCGTGTTCATTTATTATGTGTATTTATGTTCACAATTATTAACACATGCACAGACACACACATGTCATTTAGCCCACAGTCACTTTTCACTAATGAGCCTGTTTAGCATCTGTATGTGACTAATTAATTACCCTCCTTAACTCATGGCTAAACCCTCGCTCCTGTGCTTAAACTGACCTAAATTTCCCCCATGTGCTAATTAAGGTTGTGATCTAAAGTGTGGTCTCTCACAGGAGATGCTGTGTTGTTGAGGGCATGTCTATTAATTTATGACTGTTCGTCATTACAGCCATCAACTCACATCAGTATGACAACCAACTAACCCTAAGTTTAAGTCTTTCCTGGAGCCAAACAGCTGTTTTGTTTCCTTATTGTTCTGCTCAGAATATGCGTATATATTTTGGACCATACAGTTTTCCTAAAACCTCATCTCCAAGTGCACAGTTAGAGACTGCGTCAGGCAACAGACAGGGGTAACAACATGTTACAAGGTACCTGTTGCTATCTGGCGGTGCAGTGTGAATTGGTCTTTATATGTTACCAGTATTGGCCTTTAAATAGTGACCAGTGTGACCACCAGTGGCTTTAAAAAACAAACAAAAAAAACCCATAAAAGAATCATAAAAGTAGGTCACATGACTTGTGTTTTCTGGTCTGAGGGAATACATGATGATAGAATTTTTATTTTTGGGCAAACTATTCCTTTTCTAAAGACTTTTCTGATATATTTAAGATATTTTATGGTCCTTTTGCGTCCTTTTTGAAGCATGAAAGCTCCTCATTCATTTTAATTGCATGGGAAAAACTCATCCAGTGCACTCTTCAAAATGTCATATTGTGTTCCATGGAACAAGATAGTGTGGTTTTGGAATGACATGAGGGTGAATAAGATTGCACTGTTAACACAGACTGCATATTTGTATTCCAATGCATAATTTTTTTTTTTCTATGTTTATGCTAGATTGATGTCTTTGACAATTCTAAATATGCTGCGCTCAAGTTTAAAGTAGTTCACCAAGGTGTCTCTAGACCTTGCATTTTTTTCATTTCACTTCCCTGCATTTCGTGTTTTTTTTTTAAATGCAAAAAACGCATTTTGTTTAAATGGCCCCTAAATGATGACATCATTTTTTTTGTGCCAAACTTTTTCTTTTTTACTAAGAAATCTTTTACAAAGATTCTTGATTTTAAGTCTGTTCACATTGGATAAATTGTCTGATTGGACCAGCTCTGTTTAACGAATGTGGGACATGGCATACCATTAGAAGTTCCATTAGTGAAGGAGCATCTTGTGCATGACATATTCTAAAGATGCAGCAATCAAGGTAAAAGTAGTTCAACTTAA